CACAATCAAGTGGCCCATTCTACCCCAAGCCGAAGCCTCTTACGCGTTGGTGCTGACGAATCACGCGTGACGCGTATATCCGAACCGATCTTTTGCATGCAGAAAAAAAGATGTTAGACTAATATTTGAGAAATATTCGGCCGTCAGACATGGTAGTCGGGCGGATAGAAGAAAAGTTTCAGTGAAATTACTCAAATCCAAGGTTACACTGTCATATGCCTAGGGATGTATGGCCGAGCGGGTGCTTGGAGTCTGGACTCTATGCGGACTCTGGATACCTCCCGACCTCCAATTTTAACTAGACTTGCCTCGGGTGACTAACCCCTTCCAGCCTACTATGAGACCAACTATGCCAAAAATAAGAACACCGCAAGGGGGCTCGGTACTCCTTCTAATGTACCGAAAGGATGAGACAAAAAAACAGACAAAGAGGTCCCGAAAAGACGGGGAAGGAGACTGAGTCCGTCTACCGTCTTCAGGCAGCAACCGCTACGAGAAAGAGCCTGAAAAACCAATCGGGCTTATCCAAGAAGGGTGACACCAGGGATGAACCGGTTATCGAGGTGGCAGGCAGCGTTCTGCACCACAGGGGGAAGTGAAATACACTTGTACCGGTTCGAATTAACGGGAGTGTGGATACCAAATTTAATTGCTCTAGCTCTTATAGTCTCTGAGCACTAGGACTGACAGACGGACAGATAGACATGGCTCAATCGATTGGGCTATTGATGCTGATGAAGAATATATATACTTTATGGGGTCGGAAACGCTTCGTTCTGGACGTTACATACATTCACTTTCACCACTCATTTTGAGTATCGGGTATAAATACAAAGTTCTCAGTAACTATAAAAGCTAGAGAAACGAAATGATGTATCCAGACTCCTGTAATATCACAATTAAGTTTCGCCCGGCCTCCTTACGCCCCCACACAGGTCGTAAAATCTTTGGCGGAGACTAGCCATACTGGCTGAGTATCGGAGATAGATGTAGAGTCTCGGCCGTAGCTGCTACTCACAATGTTCCCCCTCGCCGTAAAGATATCTTCCAAATGTGTATTTTCCCATTCCATTTTGCACTCCCTTGAACAAAGATGGTTAAATTAATCATACTTATCTGTTACCTATTTTACCTACCTAAACAATATAAACCCTAAAAACATGAGAAAAAGGCAGTACTTACACTCTTTATTCAGTACAAATTTCTATACACGGGAACACAGATATGGGCTGCACTATGCGAATGGAAGTACGTATATTAAATGTGGCTGTACTCCATGAATAGCAGGTTCCGGATAATTTGAAAGCATCAACATTACTAATTATATTTTATTACTGCATACATTATGGAAGATTTTGTGTGTATGATGATACATACATATGCATACAGAAATTGTGCACACTAAACAACAATAGACAATTTTATTTCAATAAAGTCAGTTTAACTGTATATCATGATACAAAATGTACTTATTTTAAAGCAAACGAAGTCATTTTATTTAATTATATTTTTGGTCAGATCTTTTTAGCCGAAATCTCTGAACGCATAAATTTAAATATATATATGGTATCCCAAGTATTTTTTTATATGCATTTTTTAGGTATGCCAGCTTATACTCTGAATCATTTCATTATTATTTTCTACTATTTACAAGGCACGTAGCGCATTTTAAGTTATTTGAGGGAATCGTTTTTTGAAGATTTTGAAGATTCGAGAATTACGCAGAAGTATAGAAAATGATCAGATGGCCGCAACTGGATTATATCTGATTATTATTTTTATATGTAACACCGCTCAGTGGGACATCGGCCGAAAAGAGGTCGCGAATTTTATGAGCGCTTTGGATCAAGTGAATATACGCGTTTGATACACCAATTTTAGAGCTTACAAAATCTAAATAATGTGTGTAACGTCCAGGAAGAAGCGTTTCCGACCCCATAAATTATATGTTTAATGTTTAACGTTTAATGTTTAGAGTTCAATTATGGACAGTTAAACTGTGTAAAAATAGGAATGTACAAATGATAAAATTATCTCCTACTGGAAAGTTTGCTAACACAATACAAGGCTGAAGAAAGTTAACCAAATTATTCATTAAAAAAGATTTTACTTTGGAAGCGCACGTATCAAAGGACAAAAGGAGGAAACATTTATTGTAATCGCGGCAAAGGCTACGGAAAGATTCATGGTCAGAGTAGTTTAGTGGACAGAGAGAAAGACGGAGAGGAAAGTAATACAGCAACCTTATTCCGAGATAGGCCGTAAAAGAGAAACGTAGAGTTATTTAGTGGTATAGGTATATACAGAAAATTCCTTCGTCCATCTTTTGATAAAGCAAAGGTCTCCTTGGGCATTATTCGAAATAGCGGATATATGAGAATTAAAACATAAGTTAGGTACGAATATAATGCCTAAGTCATTAACTTTGTACAGGCGTTCCAAGGAAATGTTATTAATTGTGAAGTCAAAAAGGTAAGGCTTGTTGCGATGGAAGGTCATGACGTTACATTTGGAAATGTTAAGAGGAAGAGCGTTAATGATACACCAATTGTTGAGAGCGTCGAGATCCGATTGAAGAAACAACGGGGACCACAGATCGCTATAGGAAAAACATAGCTTGACATCATCAGCATACATTGAGAACCGTGAATTAGTTAAAACTTGGGGAAGAACATTGATAAAGAGGTTAAATAATAAGGGCGCGAGATGGCTACTTTGCGGCACAACCGAAGAGACAAAAACTGGTTTAGAAAGAAAAGATTTTAAGGGGACACGCTGAGAACGATTACAAAGGTACGCATTAGTCCAGAGAAAAAGTTGGTCGGAAATCCTAGTAGAGATAGTTTGTGGATGAGGAGATTGTGATTAACTGAGTCGAAAGCTTTGCTAAGGTCAGTATAAACTACGTTAGTTTGGCATTGTTTTGCATAACTCTTACAAATCATTCCAGTGCACTATGGAAAAAAATTCCGAAATTTCTATTTCTCACAATTTCTTCTCAGCGTAGCTTACCTACGCTGGCAAGCTTTTTTGCGCTCCTGCTTTGCTTCGCCTAACTTACACTAGACTTTAAAAATTTATGATTCCAAATTGAGTTACACGTGTTTGTCGGTGTATTTAACCAAATCTCTAGCCTTATTAATGGAACCTATTAACAAACCATATTTAGGCTAAATAGCCTCAAACCTACCCTCTGTGATCACGTTGTTTTTCTGTATCGTGATTCAAGTAGACCCTAGTTAATTGTTTATAGGGTTGATTAGGGTATTTTTAAGTTGGTGAGAAGTTTAAAAAATATTTATTTCTCACCTCCGATTCGAGCTCAGCGACTGATAGACATATACATACATATGTAGATTGACTCTCAACTTCTTTTGACAGACACTTTAATATCTGGATTTAACATACCTATGTAAGTACACTATGTATAGTGGAATACGACCATAATCACTTGAAATCATTATCCTTTGAAATCTGCTTCACACTCTTCTACTCTGAGCTCTTTACAGCATTTGGGGACATCCACCCCAACTCAGAGACAGGAGCTGTCGACTTTTTTTACGTATGTATAGTATGAGTATACTACGCATATCAATTGTTTAACATTTTTATTTATTTTATTGTTTACTGTTCATTTCCTTTGTAGCCCTATGTGTTGAATTTTATAAAATTCATTAAAACTGAGCGTAAAGTCCGGCGTATACAAACACACCTGTAACCATGAGAATGCTTAAGCAAAAAAAAATAAATAAATAAAGCACTAGAAGAGTATTTACATTTCGGCGTTCGTAATATTTCACTTTTAAAAGCAAAGATAACAAATGTGAAAAGCTATCTTGTTCAAGATAAAGATTAAAAGATTTTTTTTGCAAGACACATTCATACATTTAATGCTTTGCATACTCGCTAGTTAAGAATCATGTTAAATACTCTAGCAAGATCATTTTTCTTTTATAACATATGGTGCATAATTGGTAATTTGACTCCAATTAACTCGGTAAGGATCTGCTTACAAAAAGAATATTAAACTGCTGTCGAAAATGAACCCGCTCATCTTATACGAATAGTTGCACACCTGTGTCAATAACAACACTGAAACCAATAACGGAACGGAAAATTGTAAATATAAGGGCTTACGTTACACATCATATAAGGAGTTCCTTTGCTGGGCAAAGAGTGGTGAGCTGCATATTCGCGAGTGCGATAACATCTCTGGTGATTGGCTTCCAAAAACAGTAGACTGTCATGTAAAACAAAATAAAAATAAATTTTGTCCGGATGATCTTTTTGAAGTTAAACAAAATGACGACGACCCAATTTGTTTAAAAATTTCCACTAAGCCGGAAGCTTATAATGAAACCTTTTGCTACGGTTCAAATAAAATAATACCATTGGATCTATCATCATCTGAAATGACCACAATTATACTGTTCTTAAAACAAAAAAGAATTAATGAATACTGGTTGCCAATAAAACGGAGCAATGCTTTCATGCCATTCATGATAAATTTGCCAGGAAAAAGATGGCAGAAAGTCATCGACGAACACATACTACCAGAACATTTGAAATCTGATCTTTACTGCCTAGCACACAACCTAGACAGATTAAAAATTGAATTGAGAGATTGCAAGAAATTTTTACACATGGTCTGCGCTTTTAAAAGTAGTCTTTTATCTCACTCAGGGTGTCCAGAAGGATTTGGTGCTTTAAGCTATCGGCCAAATGAATGTTACGGTATTAATTGGAAGAAAAAATCGCTTAATCATGTGCACATCAGTGAATACTATGAAAAACAGAACTCGATTAGAATTGTACTACAAGAGATAATTCCCCAAGAAAAAGAGAATTATTTCTTTAAGATTGATAGCTTTGTTGATAGATTTTCTGATAATTATATGGTAATAATGAATAAATATGAAAAGACAAAAGTTTCCTATGAAAACTCGAAATGGTTTCCAGTATTGAGTAAGCAGATTGTAGAAGCACCATCACCATTTTTAATGAAATTAAAATTCGATGAAAACTTACGCGAATTAATACTAGTGATTTATTACCGCAATTATCTATGGACTAATGAATATAACGACATTGGTGTTCAATGTTTTACTAATGCAGGCTATGAACTTTTAAAAAAAACTTCTGTTAATCTTATTTGGCAAAATGAAAAAAAAACACGTTCCATTTTTAGGCTAACTTTATTTGGAGATGGTCCTGGGGAGTATTGGTGCGAAGGTCATACAATTTTTAATTTTCAGTGGGTATCCACTCAACGATTAATAGCTTTTAAGAATATGCGCGGGCATACTTTTGCTACGCGGTTAGATATCCCATGCATTTACAAAAATAATGAAATTATTGTTAATTTTTGTATTTACATCAACAAAAGCACTAAAATATTTGGTAAAATGATACGCAATTTTTTTGTGAAGAAAGCGAAAGATAGTGTTAGTGATCTTATTATACATAACGTCCGTATTATGAATATTGAGAGCGTTACAAAACTCTCCATGGTTTGTTGGTGTCATATAATGGCACAACTAGAAATATCCAATAAGAGTTATGAAGAGGTAAGTGCGGAAGATATCTTTGAAAATGTTTCGAAAATTAGTGACAATACGTTTTCAAGCATTCGAGTATACAAAAAACTAATGAAAATGAATAGTGACTTAATAACTGTAATACGTAGTATAGAATACTGTTTCCCCGACATTTTTTCGTCAAATAACTTAATGAATAGTCAATGGATGCAGGTTCGTAGGGGAGAAAAAGGTACGGCACAGATTTTATGTCTCCAAAATAATGGTATTCCATATACGAGACGTTGCGAAGGAGACTTTGTGCATGGGGCATATTGGGAATTATTAACACAATCTATTAATTGTGAACATGCTCAAGATATTACACAAATTTTATACAACCTGGAGAACACACGCTTGATTGAGCTAACACCAGAAAAGGTTGTACAAGAAGTTAAGAGCCTCATTAAAGATAACAAACAAAAAATTGGTCCTGGCGATGTATACTTAATTTCTAACATCATTCAAGTCTCTCTTCGGAATCTTTCCGTTCCAAATGTAGTCTGGTCTAATGGAGTAGTTCCAGAGCTAGGTCAAAACCCTGCAAAGTGGAAAAGTGTAATCCATGACATCATAGAAATCTACAATATCCTAACAGATTTAGATATAGACGTAATTAGTAGGTCAGCTGATCTAAATTCAACAAACAAATTCTTAGAAACATTTGAAAATTCAATGGATACTCTATCATTCTTACAATATGTTGACCAAAATAGCTTCGTTGAAGAAGATATTGGATCTAAACTGGATTTGGAAGTTTTCGACTATGTAGACATTGGTGTATCCGTACAATCTTCTCCAAATTTTCTATACTTTTATATTAATCCTTTAGTAGCAAATGTATCTGGGATAGCATTATTTAACAATAATATCAGTGGTAAAGTTCCACAAAAGTTAAAAGGCAAATTTTACAATGAGGATTACCGATTTCTGCAATCCAATCATGACATTGAGGACTTTATCCATGAATCAAATTTACTACTTGCAACTTATGTACCAAAAAAACTTTTGAGTAGATTAAAAACTTTTTCAACCATATTTAATCAAATAACTAAAATCCCTCCAATAGTGGTCATTAAAGTATACTCCAACGACAAGCTTTTTCAGCAGGCTATTCAAACAAAAGCGGTTTCGAGCCATATTGTGTCAATATCCATACCTGGATACAATACTAATCTACCTGAGGCACTGCCGCTAATTCTAAGAAGATTGCACACTTATCATCATACTGATTCAGAGCAGTATTGCCACTACTGGAACTACGGTAATTGGGCTACCGACGGGGTAAAAATGTCTAAAAATGTTGAAATAAGCGAAGATATTGGGATATGTTTTTTAACACACTTGGCACCATTTGCTTATCTTGTAGGCGTTAACCTTACGTTTGATATGGAGATTGAGTCGTACTCTAAGAAAATGGATGATCGTACTTCGGATATCATAGCAGTGTTAGGCTGCTCACTATCTTTGTTGGGAGTATGTTGCATTTTTATCACAGCTTCAAAATTGTATTATTGGCGGCACAAGACTTAATCTAAAGTTTTACTACATTTGTCTTTAGCCATTTCTTTGCAAATGTTAATTTTTTTGTTCGCAATAATAATAATCAATAAACAATAATCAAGATTTTCCGGTATTTTTATTCATGAATAAAATAATAAATGGTTGTGTAGCCATAGGAGCAAGTCTTCATTATACGGTCTTAGTGCAATTTTTCTAGATGATTGTCATTGCATATTTCCAGCTCAAGCGATTTTTTCCGATACTAAGTACAACAAGAATAAAAAGATTTGTTTCAAAAACTTCTGTATTGTGTTGGGGATTACCACTTGTTCCTGTATTGCTTGTGATATTCTTAGATAAAAACTCCTTTGATATGGGCCTATTTTGTTGTCCGTCAGGGTATGCATTGTATTTTTCGTTTTTTTTTACCTATCGGAATGGTTATTGCATTAAACTTTATAATATTTAATTTAATTTTATACAATGTTTTCTTTGGTACTTCTGCAGCAGTAAGTCGTACAGATAGAGGGATATTTAAATCGCAAGTAAGACTTGCAGCGTTACTATTTTTTCTTTTGGGATTTACTTGGACATTTGGCTTATTGTCGGCATTGAAAGCTGGAATAATTTTTTCATATTTATTTTGCCCTACGTCAACTCTACAAGGATTCGTAATTTGTATATATTTTATTATTTTAGATCCATTAAGCCGTCGGGTGTGTAGTGACTACTTTGGTAATAATTGTAGAAATAGAAAATCAACCATTAAAAACGAAACTGATTATACCTTGAGAGATACAGAGTAATCAGTAGAAAATATATATTTTATACGAAAGTAAATAAAAACAAGCGTAAGGAATGCAAGAGCTTTATTTGTGTCTCAGTGGTTACAAACAGAAAATGTAAAATAAAATAAAATTTTGAAGAAAGGTAATGCATATAAGTTTCTCAACTAAATTATTCCGTCAAGCTGTGTAAAATAATATATCGATCTTAACAATTATTTATTCTAGGTCTTTCAATCAGAAGCTACCTTGCTAAACATTTTTTAGATCATGATTATTAACGAATTAAAGATTATTTATGAATTGTTAACTTAGCCAAAAATACTAATATTCACAAAGCTTATATAAAAACGATCGATGTTCAACGTTATTAAAAGTTTCGGCTTTAAAGCTGGACTTCCTTTTAGCTTTAAGGACAAAATAAATGTAATTTGATTTGATAATTTTATTTTTAAATGTTGGGGGGGAGTGGCTACGGCTGCGACTCTACATTTATACCGGATATTCATACCTCGCAAATAACTGTTGAACGTTTTTCGTTGCCAGCAAATACGTTTCTTTAACTCACATTTTTCTCAGCGAGCAGCCGTTTTTTTTCTATTTCACTCTGGTTTTTCCCCGACCGTTTGCTTGATTGAACCAAATAATATCAAGTAATCATATGATGGTATGATTGATGCGCCAAATACTTGAAGTAAATAAACAGGTGAGCTTAATGAAGCCTTCCATATTTATATGCGAATTAATTATTATTTTTTTGTGTGTGAAACCGATTTCCTCAGAAGCCTCAGAGACATCGTCGATTCAGCCAGACAATGGCCTTGAGTTGACATCGCATAGCACATGCTCATATTTGAATGCATATTTAAAAACTATTGAGGTTGCATCTGAATGTGAAGAGTATGAGGAAGAGGACGAACCGGAGCTAAAACTGGCAAAAACCGAAATTTATGGGTATTCGCCAAAACCAACAGATTTAAACGTGGACATTATGAGCTATAGGGAAGAAAAGAAGTTCACATATCCACGCCTGTACCGTCTTGCCAAGGTACTTCATTCTGTCCCTGCTACCCAGGTTTCAGTGGAAAGGGCATTTTCTGCTCTTAAACTAGTAATGACAGATCTAAGATACAACCTATCTACAGAATCTGTAAAAAAAAATAATGTTCCTAAAACTAAATAAATAGAAAACTTACTAGCATATAAACTGTTATACCTGTGGGTACAGGGAAGTCTGGGAAGCAGACAAGTGTCATATACATACATATGTCGTCATGCGTCGCCAATGAATGTATTTTGTGCATATTGTGTCATTATTCTTTAGTTCTCTTTATCTCTTGTACTCTTTTTCGCTTACACATAAGCCGCTGATTAGGAGGTCTGGGCAAGTGCCTAAGCAGATAATTAAATATTCATACATACACATGTATGTATGTATATATGTACATACATATTAGATATCAAATGAAAGGCATTAATGCGTAGGTCATATACATATATAGGACTATATTTGATCTGGCTCCTTTGTTTTAAAAGATATTTGAATTCAATTTTTATTTTCAATTTTGTATAATAAAAATTGAACATAAATTTGATGACTTAATTTTTATATCAAAATTTATATATAAAAATTATTTGTTCTTTTTATCATTTAAATTAATTTTACTATATAAACAAATTTTTTTTAATTAATTCAACAAATAAATCTTGGTTCTTAATATTTTCTATAAAAATTATAATCGTTACGGTCCCAGTTTATCTCGATTTTGCTCTCTTTAGTCACTTAGAAAAGTTTCATGTCATAAGGCCATAAATAATAATCTCAAGAAAGGAAACTTGGTATAATTAAAAATGAGAAGGTATATTTCAGTATACTTCTGAAGGTCAGATGGTATATTTCATCGATAAGTCTACGGTCACACCGACTTCACAACCAATCGGCACATGTTTTGAGAAGATGAATGAAATCGAGAATCTGTTGGAATGTATTACAAATACAAATTTGAAAACTCAAAGAATTTACTTGAACATGCTTGACGAAAATGATATCATTTGGAGCAAGGTATGTTGCTGTTTCACCGAAGTATCTCCAGATCTCTATTTCAATAACAATACATCTTATGACTTAGAAACTTATTGTGGCTCAACTAATAACTAAATTGGTTACGAAAAGAAAAACGCGTGCCCTCGGATACCGGCTTCTTATTTGTTACCTCAATCAATACTCCCTAGAAGTATCGGAAAAATCTGCAAATGTGTGGTTGACAATTATATTTAAATCTTTAAACGAATTCGAAATCCGTTTATACGGGGAAATTATATTTGAAGCATTGGGTAAGTTTTGATATCATTTTGTCTAATTGCCTTTTATCTCAACGTACAATCGGCACAAAATTTTATTTTTGCTCCATTAAGAGCCAAGTTGACGATATTAAAATTATGGTTATGCCATCAATGAAAACAAGATTTCCCACTACATTGGGGAAATGCAGCCCCAAATCATGACACTACCACCGCTGTGCTTTACTGTTGGTCTTAAGTGATGTTTCTGGAGCTCAGTATTTGGTTTCCGCCAAACCATAGTCTTGCCATCACAGCAAAAAGGATAAACTTGCTTTCGCCTAAGAATATTACATCATCCCACCAGATTTGGTCCTTTTTAGAATATTCCTGGGCAAACATTTTCCTTAATTTTCGGTAGCGCTCAGAAACAGGCTTTTTCCTTGCGATACTCAAAATGATTATAGGGGTATATTAGATTTGTGGTGAATGTGGATGTGTGTAACGTCCAAAAGGAAGCGTTTCCGACCCCATAAAGTATATACAGTTTTGATCAGCATCAATAACCAAGTCGATATAGTCATGTCTGTCTGTCCGTCTATCCGTACGTCCCGATGAGCACCTAGACCTCAGAGACCAAAAGAGCTAGAGCAACCAAATTTTGTATACAGTCTCCTGTGATATCACACTGTCACAAACATATTGCAAAATTTTGCCGCGCCCCTTCCGATGTGGCCAGAATTATAGCCAAACGAAACAAATGAAATTGCAGTGGCTACGCATCGCCTGGCTCAGTACCAGAGTTAAGCAGAGCCGCGGCCTTTGGCGCGGCTCACAACGTTCCTCCTATTTCCCCTGCACTACCGATTCTGGTATCCAAAACTGGATCTGCAGAAATTGTCATTTTGTATCTTCTTTTAAAGAAGTTCACTACTTTCCCGGTCGATAATTAAACGTGCCTTATAAACGCAACCATCATTTTATTATTAGTTTTATATATTCATTAATAGAAAGAAAATTAAATGATATTCATTCATATTGATTTTACAGCACTACTCATCGAAAATATCCAACGCGATTTTAATTTGTCAAAAGCATTTGGCTCCGTACATATCCTTAAAGTGATCGAGAAGGTTTCACTAAATGAGGTACTTGCAGACGATTTGTGCACTCTTTCTGCCCTTCACACTGTCGAACAATGTTTGAAATATTATCCAAGGAGTCTTAAATCTGGAAAATCTGCAATTGAAAAGTTCTTGATAAAATTATTAGACAGCACTAATCCCGATATTGTCTTTCAAACCGGTGAATGCTGGCTCTTATTACAAAAAGTACGCGGTTCTCTCAGTAATGGAGCTGATAATGATGAAAGTCAATGGCGAGATTACCAAATGACATTATTGGGTAGTCTTTATTTTATTATAAACAAGACATGTCCAATATCTGAGGAAATATTTGTTTGTCCAATTGAGGCAAAACACTTAGAGCATTTTACAGTGCATTTAACAGAAGATCCAGTAGAACGAGCCGCACAAGTCTGTCAGCGGTTTTGCAATCTTATCGATTTTTTAAAGATTGCCTTGAGGTGAGGACAACCGATATTTTAGAATTTATTTACAACTTATTTCTTTATAAAAACATTTCTTTTGTAGCAAACCGTTCCATGACAAAAAAATAATTTATACGCAACAAATTTTGTGTTTTATACAACGTGGATTACATGTAAAATTAAATAATGAAAATAATCCAAAAATGGATTATGTTTGTTTTAAAGCATTGTTACCGCGAATGCACATTAAGTTGTTGGAGCTTCTGGAAGTATTGATTGACATGTAAGTTAAAATCAGACAAATTTATCAAATTGCTTTTTTTTCTAAGCTAACTTTTATTAAGTAGCACTATTCATTTAATTTAGAATATGGGTCTAGCAAAAAGGTTATACGCAAATAAAAAATGCGGAGCGCTAAAATTAACATTCCGCATATCATA